ATTACAAAAGCTGTAAGAGATGACAAATTCACAGGGAATAGAGATTAGATAGCAAAGATATATCTGTAGTCCGAAGCCGCATCCTGCTTATCAAAAAAGTCATGAAACCCTAGGAAAAACAATTTGCAGTTATTCAAAAACTGTATGGCTAAGAGAGTAAACAGACTAGTCTTACTGTGTTTTGTCTAATGAGTAATAGGAAACTTTTCGAGGTTAAAAGGAGAAAAAATATGTAAAAGAAACGTTAATGTGGTTGACTAGCAACTCTGCTAATGGAGGCAGAAGGGCTCTTGAATTCTGCTGATGCTGTTACATCATAATTTCAGTTTAAGCTTTCTAAGAGTTTACGAAAAGATTCGTTTGCAAAGAAATCAGTCTAAAACTCACAAAACAAATTCCTTGGGTACCACTTCCATATGCGGCTGTGTATGGTTCAAGTAGTACACAGAATTTTGGTCCCTTACAAAAAAAGCAAGCCACCAGCCGAAAGTGGAAATGACAGTAGAAATCAAAAAACAGCTGCACATTTCTGATGCCAAATACAGGTCCATCGATTCTTCATAAGTTGAGATAGCCACTGCCTAAAACGAGTGAGCATTGATTCTAACGAGCAACGACTTGGGATGGCTCACATCATTTCTCCAGCCACCGTCCTTTACAATAGTTTGTGATAATTTGACCATATAATTCCTATCGTCTCCGAATACCAAAAAATGTGATATGTTCTGAAAAGAAGCATAATCACTACAAATGTCGCCATGTAATCTGAACCATACCTTTTTCTTTGCTAGTGTGTTAGCAGCTTTCACTGTCGTGTTCAAGTCAGTGTTTGTACTTCTTTCGATAAAATCTGTCATACGCACATGTACGCACATTGAGCCAGAGTAGCTAAATAATTTCAGTGGTAATTCTTCGAGTGAAATGTGCAATCAAAGAAATCTTACTTTTCTAGAAGACTGATAACCTCACTTCCATTTCTTTTCATTTCTTCTGAAAACTGTAAAATATTTCGAACATCCTTGATGTAGCCCTCAAAATATCGACGATTCTGACCAAAACTGAAGTCTAGCAGCAAAAACTGATCGCTAAGGTTGACCAGCCTAAGAGGGCAAGTCTTCAAAAATCAAAATCTTTCTAAAGGCAAACCTCAAAGGATCATCGT